AAATATTACAAGTGGAAGAGATTATATAAAAATCCAAACATACCTAGTCACTATACCTCTTCCGAACAGAAGTTCCAATATTTCATAAAATGTACTTTTTTCGTACATTTTTGGATGTTTCAGTAGTTCCTAAAGAACCAATTATAAAAGTTTTGATATAACAATAAAATCTATTTCTAATTCATCTGTAATTACAGATGCATGATAATTTTAATTAGAATTAAAAAAAAAGTTAAAAAAATATACGTTAAAAAAAAATTGAAATTTTGCTAGAATTTTATATTTAAAATTTTTCTCTTCGAGAATATTCATAGACGCGTGGCATTTCTAATTACGAGATCAGGTTTTCAAAAGTAGTTTATTAGGGATCAAAAACATTGTTGTAGTAAACATAAAAATATACTTCAATTTAAAAAGCAGTTAAAGAAAAAAATCATTCGGACCCGATCACGTGGATACGCGTATCACTCTAACACGAAAACGTCTATACCTCCCTTCGTCATCTGCAGTTGTATATTTATAACACGTCCTCATTTGCATTTAAGATGTTGCCAATTGGAGATGACAATACGTCTACGGATCGGATTAAAAACCGGATTTGAGACTCGAATCCGAGATCACAGCACGAAAATTATAACTATAGTTTAATTATCTATAGTTTTTACAAACTGCTTAACAAGCGGCCCCCTTCTGACAATTCCCGCACCATCATCTCCACAGAGAATCAATTATACAATTTGATTGTAGAAAATACTCGAAGTATTTGCATCTTTGTAATTTACAAATTATAATCAGTTGTACTAAGAAGATAAAATTCCATTTCATTAAATAGAAAAAAAAAGAAATATTTCACAAATTTTAATAATTTATCCTTAACCAAAGGTTTAGTGAGTATGTCTGTCAAGCAAATTGAGTGTTAAGATATTGAATTTAAAATACTACATTTACATGAATTAAATTTGTCACAAAATCATAGCGGACGTTCATATGCTTCGTCCTCTGGTTCTCGAAGGCTGAATTCGAAAAACTTACGGTAGCTTAATTATCACAAATTTTTTTATTTTCATTTACCTTTAAATTCAAGCCTTCATTATTCAATGCGTTCTTTGACCACATAAATTCCTTTGCCGCTTCTGTAAGGGCAACATACTCTGCTTCCATAGTTGATAAGCTAACTGATTTTTGTTTAAAATTTCACCTCGAAATGAGAGTTTCGTCAATAAAATTATGAAACCTCCCATTGAGATACTTTATCATCTCTGTGTTTGTAGCAAAATCCAAATATGAATAACACCTCAACTTTATTCTTTCTAGTTTTCACAAGGTATTCACTATTAATAGTGCAAAATCGTTTATGCTAAGTTTTTATTGATGCGTGCTTTATTTTACTGATTATATTACTAATAGAATTTTGCTCTTTAGGCTTTGGAGGAACATACTGCGTAGGTTTAAAGTAATATAAATTACCACGCGTTAAGCCGAGAACAGCTTATTTCAATCTTTACTATAGACGTGAATTTTACCCTTAGAACCCACAAAATGTGCATCTTTCTTTTCCATAATCTAGAATCAGACATCAAATTTCTCCTCAATTTGGGATTATGTAAAACGTCTGACAAAGTTAATTTATTAAAGGAATCTTTAGTTTTAACTAAAAACCTATTGTTTCTATCCCTTCTACCGGAAATATCTGTTGTCTAGAACTAACAACACTTGCACATTCGTAATTGGCCTAATACCTAAAAATGAGCTTTTATCTTTGCAAAAATGGGTCGTTGCACCCGTATCTATTACCCAAACCCCTTATCAGAAATTTCCTCAGATAAGTTACAACTTTTTTCTAACTGAGCCTTTTGTTCTATTAAGCTGCATTCTGCCTCACGTTATTTATATTCTAAATTCCGAATTAAAATTTTCGTTAAGAGACTTTTGAAGAGTATTCTTGTCCTTACAATTTACCTTAAGATGACCATACATTTGCCCAGAAAAAAAGGACATATTTTCCTAACAATACTATTTGTAACATATTTACGTTTAACAAATACCTTAACGTCGTCTTTCTGGTACCATTTATTACCACTCACATCTCCAGAAGCTGCATCCACGCGGTCAGGAGCTGCACTTGATATCGTAGGGGTTGAAGCATTGCCAAGGAAAACAGTCTGTAGATCTTGTCTCTTGAGATCTTGTTTCATAAGATATAATCGGTTTTCTTCAAGTATTAGTTCCGCTTCTATCTTGCCGGCAGTAAATTCCCCGTCTTTCCATCTGTAGATCTGTTGATTGCAATTCTTGAGGAAGATAACTGATCATCTGAAATCCTAGGTATAGATCGTCCACTTTATGACCCACTTCTTGTAGCCTAGCTGCCGCCGTTCTTACCCGACATAGGAAGATGTCAACATCGTCTCCTGGTTGATACTTTGTGCTGAAAAATTCGTCTAGGAGTTGAATTATTTGTGCCCTTTTCATCGGTTTGAAATAATCTTTTATATATCTTCCATGCTTCTGCACCATCAGTTGTATCCGAAATAAAAATTTTGAGATCAAGACTGACGTTCGTATCGATGAGAGTAAAAGATCTTTTCTTAGTCTGAAGTGATACATTTATTTGTAGGTTGTCCCCACAGCCGGATCCACTGGTTTAGTCTTTATGATAAAGTGCTAGCATCCATACTGCTTCCATGTGTTTCAGTTATTCGGAGTCAGAACTCGAATTTTATTATTCTCCATCTCTTCCTAGTATTGTGTGAATACTATTCTAATAATCAACTAACTTATACTGGATTAAGAAATTGGAACTGGCTTACTGCACTGGAAGTAATTCGTGATCTTAGAGAACTGTATAGCCTGCCTTTTTAAATAGGGTTGTCTAGGCCCATAACCCAGATGTTCTCTTCGAGAGTATTCATACATGTGGTAGGTCTGATTACGAGATCAGGTTTTCAAAAGTAGTTTATTCTGGATCAAGAACATTTATTTTTTATCAATTGTAGTAAACTTAAAAATATACTTCAATTTAAAAACCTTTACAGAATAAATTATAGTTAAAAAAACCCCTAAAAACACGCTCTTATAGTGAATCGAACTAAAAAGTAAAAAAATAATTCTTAATATAAGAATAAAAAGATTAACGAGAAAATTAATGTCATTGGGGTAAAAGCGTGGGATGCTCTATATTAATTGTTATAATTTCTTACTAACTGTATTCAGAAATGCTGAATCAGTGTAAAAATGTAGTACAAAGCACTCCATGTTTTTACCCCAATGACATTAATTTTCTTGTTCTTTTCTGGCGACAAATTTTGTTTTTTCACAACGTGACAAATTGTGTGTGACTTCATAAGCATTGCGCAAAATTAACAGAGGGTTAGATACTTCTATGTGAGTTTTGTTTTAGTATATTATTGTTTTGCAGTTATAAAAATACCAGCAACAATTTTTTTTCAATATAAAGATATAGAAATTTTTATTAACAAAATAAAAAAGATTATATAATGTAATTTCAAGGCAAGTAATACGCAAACTAAAATCTGTTTAATAAGTGTTTCTAGGTTCCCTTCTGAAATCATCACATTTCACTAAGAGCAACGTATGCAATATTTAAGTATCAGTGTGTAGTAAAGATGTGCTAGATTTTTTTTTAATTACGAGGGATGATCACAGATAAAAAGGTTACAAGCCACAGCATTTGAAAACTACATATTGTGGAGAAACTTTGTTGCCCTAGAGTGGAGAAAAATGGTGCTACTTGTCATACAGCTGGGTTTCGGGTAGGTAGTGAAAGTTCCCAGACGGTTCAGAACGATTGAAATGGCTAGACGCTTAGGAAATTGGTCTCGTTTGGAAGTGCGAGCCGTGAATCAATTTTTATGGACAAAGAATGAGCAGACAACATACAGCGAAATGATGTCACTCTTTTCAATCATGCATACAGGATGTCGAAACTCTTAATATGGCAAGGAATGGACGGCCAAGTTCTTCAACGACTTTTATACAGGATCCTACTCATGGTAAACCATCGACAGCTGTGTCTGCAATGGGCTCATGAGAACAGAGCCTGGCAAGCTGTTTGTCACCAAGTTGTCTTTTCAGATGAATCACGCTTCAATTTAGGGAACCATGATGGCCGCATTCATGATAGACGCTATGCTGGTGAATACTGCCTTACAGAGTGCGTTATCAAACGCCCTAGTGGCTTAATGCCCGGTGTTATGGCCTGGAGTGCAATTTCGTATCATGGACGATCCAATTAGCTACGAATTGTGAGTAATCTGAATAGCAACAAGTACGTCCGTGAAGTGGTGCAGCCTGAAGTCGCTCCCATCCTTTAACACATCCCTGGAGCTATCTTTCAGCAGGATAATGCAAGCCCACATTTTGCAAAGACTGTTCGAGACTTCTGTTCAGCCCAACACATGCAACGTTTTCCTTGGCCTGCTTATTCGCCGGATATGTCGCCTATTGATCACATGTGGGCTTTAGTTCATCGACTTCTCGCTCGTGATGCGCGTCCTGTAGCTTCTAAAGACGAATTTTTGCTTCGCATACAAACAATATGGAATCCAAAAGCAGACATTTAAAATCTGTTTGACTTCATGCCACGTTGTATAGTAGCACTTATTGCAGCGCATGGTAGCTACACATAATACTGTTTTCGGACACGTAATATTGTTTATTTTTGCTTTGAAAATTTCGGTCATGTTTTTGTACTAATACAAGTCGCTTGTGCATTAAATTTCATTTAATTCTGATATCATTCGCTTATGGTGTTGCATTTTTTAGAAACAACATTATATATATATATATCCTTCTCAAATTTTCAATCTTTAATAAAATAATTTTTATTCTTCCACTCAAGTTCAAATACAATTTTTTAAAACTTGTACTGGATAACACTTAATGTTAATACAGATTTTACATTAATAAATTTAATCAATGATAAATAATAACAAAATAATAGTTCAACACCATATATAAAAAGGAAAATCGGTTGTTGTGTCCCTGTGGCGTAATGGATGGCGCGTTGGACGTCTAATCCAAAAGTCGAGGGTTCGAATCGCTCCTGGGATGGCCTAATTTTCGAGAATGGGATTTCATTTACTATACTATCTTATTGGAATAATAAAATTGAATTAATGAATAAATAGTAACAAATAAAAATTTTAGCCCAACACCTTATATAGCCACCCATCAGGTATAGTGGTTAGTGACGCTGAATGCGATGCCGTAGGGCCTGGGTTAGAATCCTGGAGAAAGCCTAGATGTTGGAGCTGTAATCCTTCATGACTAAAATTCCCTCTTTCTTTTGTGATATGTGCTGCACGCCTATTTCTATAACCCCCTTGTGAGACTTTGTGATGTGCACGTGGTTTGGAAAATTATATATATAGAAAGTTAAATCGTTTTATATTTATCAACTTATTATTGTGATTCTCTCATATGTATATGCATATATTTACATTAATTGTAATTATTTAATAAAAAATAACTAAAATAAAATTTTTCTCTCTGTTGACCTAAGCAGAAATTACTTTAAAATAATTTTTTATAAAACTAGTTTTACTATTAGAGAAGAATTTTTTTGCCAGCACAAAGGCAAAGAGCACAGAGAAAAGAAAACTGCTATTTGGCTTAAAATGAAGATGGAGCTTCTTAAGGCTTTTGATCAAAAAACAGAAGACGAAAACGGAAATCTGTAAAAAATTTGGAATTGCTTACTCATTTAATCATCAATAATTAAAAAAAGAGAGCAAATAACGTAATTGTTTGTACAGTTTTTAACAAATACATGCATATACACATATTGAAGTAAATAAAATGTATTCTCATTTACTTAATTTTGTTAAATATGCGTTTTTTTATTAGTATCCTTTAACACATAGTTCTTTTAACTGAAAAAATATTTCATTCCCTTTAATTTCGTTTTAAACTATTTTCACTGTACATAATATGATCCAAAGGTTCAGGGACAAAGTGTAGAAAACCTTACCCTGAATAAATCACAGCACCGAAGCACATCCACCTTCAAAGTAGTCGCCTTGGGCGACGCTACACTTCTGCCAGCGTTTGTATAACTTCTGGAGGGACAGCTGAAAGCCATTTTTCACAACCTTCCGTAAAGCCTCCTGTGATGCTATTTTCACTTCATCTGATGACACAAAACGACGTGCATGTAAATGTTTTTTCATGGATAGGAACAGGAAAATGTCACACGGGGCTACGTCTGGTGAATAGGGGGGATGTGGAAGCACATCAGTGCGAGTTTTAGCGAGAACTTTTTTACCAATTGCGATCGATGTGCTGGTGCATTGTCATGCAGTAGATACCAGTCATCACTCTGCCAGAACTGAGGCCACTTACGACGAATATATTTCCTCAGAGAAGCCTTCAAGAAGTGGCGGCGATTTGCTCAAGTGTTTGGCGACGATTATTTCCAGCATATTCAGACACCAACGAAACATTTCCCGCGTTCCGTGAAGTCAAAGGTCATCCAACGTGTTCATTACATTTTGTGGATTCTCGGCCCTCTTTAAAACACCGATTCCCTTCGTAAAACTTGTATCTTGCCATGATAGATTCACCATACAGCTTACTTAGCATTTCGAGAGTCTCCAATGGTATATTGCCAAAGCATTGATAGAATTTATTATTCAACGCTGTTTATGAAAAGTCATCTTTCTTAGTCGAGGAACAAAGCTAACTAGTTTCGGAAGGTAATAGCTACGCATGTGTTTCGGCCACATGACATAGAGTAAACCAACCTGGCCAGGTAAAAGAGGGTTGGAATAATTCATTTCAAGTGGTTTAACATAAGATACTTGCTTTCCTCGTCAGCAATGGCCGCAGTCCCCTCATTTTTTTGGATCGATTATGTATATTTATTTAAAAATAAAAGTAATGTTTGAGATGCATTGATTCAGAAATATTTCAACAATATATATATTTTATATATTGGAAAAATAATAATAATAAAAAAAATAGAAAACTGATCCCACCTTTACTACATCAGGTTTTCCAAAAAGTACCAATCGGCTTGTATAGGAACCAC